GGCGGCGGCGCTTGTGCCCGGAGGCTTTCGGCCGCGCCGCAAGGCTGAGCTGGAGCTGACGTGCGCTTTGCAGGGGGCCTTAGGTCTGCTTCACCTGCTCTGTATGCGATCCAGAGCACGGCGCATCTAGTCAGGCTTTAAAAAAACAACCTTTATTTCTTGACTAACGTCTCACATCCTCTCTCTACCCTTTGACAGAAGGGAGCGGATGGGAATCTCGGCCGTGCCGTGGAAAGGGGGTTTACTGCCTCGCACGCGTGCACACGCACACGCGCGCAGAGGAGCGGAGCTAAACGATGGTAGCGAGACTAGTCCGTAAGCGGAGGCTGGGCTTTGTGCTGCGTGCCCGAAAACGCGCCTGGAGTACCTCTGCGCCCAGGCACGGGAATGAGATAAGGGAAGACGACTAGCCTGAGCGTGCGTGACGCTAATAAAGCTCGGCACTTCTAAAATAGCTGGGATGCAAGGTACTAGAAGGACTGTATAAACAATAGTTAAATCTCTCTACGTTTGTGTGAAGAGGGCAAGAATGACTAACTCATGGCTCTTAGGCGGCGCAGCGCGTTTCCAGAGGTCGGTGCAAGCAGGATGCGAACTGTGGGCATGGGAAACCGCAGGAGGAGCGAGAGGGAGGATCAGCAGCCCTCTGTGGGCTCGGGGGGAGCGGAGCCTGAGGTCACTCTGCACCGGAGGAAAACATGCTTCATGCCAGCCCTTTCTGCACCTTTGGAAAGATTTAGATGAGTTTTCCTCACTGTGATTCAGTCTGTGCTTGCCAGAGCGGACAAGAGGTTTTATCTATATTCTCACTGTGTCCCCTTCGACTTGCTCGTTCTAGGAGTCACAGTTGCCTCCTGCTCCATGTCTCCTGTAGACAGGTGCAGATAGGTCCCTGTCTAATGCTTCCACCATAATCGGGTCCTATCCAAATGAGCTGCACAGCACCCCACAGAGCATGCATTACCCCATCTACTGAACAGCTCTGAAAAACAGCACAGAAAGTGACCTTCCTGCCATCACCCCACAAATGACTCGGAAAATACAAGTGCTGAGTTGAACTTTTCTGCTGTATGTTCCCCTGCTTCTAAACCACTAGATGACAATGCTCTTCACCTCTGGGGACCCAGGTGACCAGGACCACAGCGTTAATGACAAAAACTAAAGGCATTTTTAAGGCTGTTTCTAAACTGTTCAAAAACAGAAATACAGATGTTTTACAGTGATTTTCATCTTGGCTTTGTCCTGTGGTAATTGCTGGTAATTTTTAAAGTGAAAGAGATGTGGCCTGCACATTCTAGTTGAGGATCACAGCAATTCTGGCTGAGGTAGGTCTGTTTTAGATTAGCGTTTCAGAATAATGGTGTCTACAGACTGCAGCATTCCTGTCCTGAGTTTTGGTCCTTAGCATTTTGACTCTTTGGAGAGTATTACTGGACATTCATAGGGTGAAAAATAAAATTTTGTAGGTGGAGGAATATAAACTAACGTACACCAAAGATAAACAAAATTTTCATTTAGACTGACAGCCACAAGCTACCAATCTGCTGTACAGAGCACCAAATCTCCCTGCGTTCCACCAGCGTAGCTCCCCGTGCCCATCTCACCTGAGCCTTTGTAGGGGGCTACTGAGATCAGCCATTCCCTTGGCCGAGCAGCAGAGCCTGTGCAGTGAGTCTAGAAGTTACAACCTTCCTGATGGCACTTTGGGGAGGTAAATCATGATGGAATTTCTTCTTCAGACAGAGAGAAGAGGATAGCGTGTGTAATAACTATAGTAAAAGAATATTATTACTGTACAAGAGCAATCAAGAAGTTAGGACAAAACAGAATTAAATTGCTTATTTGCTCTTTATTCAGTCCTCTTGTATAGATGCATTATGAAATGGACTTTAATTGCCTAACCACATACGCTTTTTTTTTTTTTCCAAGACTCCTGTCTCATTCAATATGTAGGAGTCAATATATGACTTGCAGATACACTGGAAGTGTTTTCTGTGAAGGACAGCTGTGTATCCTTGCCTGTGATACAGTCTTACGTGATGCTAAGTTTTTTCAACATAACTTTTCACAGATGTCCAGTAATTTCAGTTCCTCATTTCTTGGAGATTTACCTGGCATCCTGAGATATGATTTACAGATATGCTGAGGACTCACTGCAAATAAAGTTCTGATGCCATGTTTTTTATATTTTATAATTCTCTGTACTCTGAAAAGTCTTGGTTTCAGCACTCAAAATTAGATTTTTGTCAACTCTGTGCCTCAAGGCTGCATCTCTAAAATGAGGATGATAACAATCCCTTAACTCAGAGGGGTTTCTGAAAATTAATGAATTAATGTCTGCAAAGCACAATGGCACTGGGGTGATGAGCGTCATGAGGAAATTAATAATTCCCTCTTCAGAACAGGATTTGCATAGTGAACAAAAATAAATTAGTAAGGTTGAGCAGGGGAAGAAAACAAAGCATTGAATAGATGAGCATCATCCATCCTGAACACCGAATGCAAAAGTAATCCATAAAAATACGGCATGTGATACAGTCTTTAATGGCACAACTACATTAAAAATCACAGAACTAACCTTAATTTTTTAATTTTCTCATTTCTGAGTGCTTGACATTACTACTAAGATAATATTGTCTAAACATACTTTTCTCCTGTGTAATTCTCA